GCTATATGCATGGCATTGCCGAGTTGGCTCATGGTCGGGGTAATGGTCTGGTCAAGATTGTAAGCACGACTGAAATCCGACATGGACGGAAAACCCATGCAGATGCTCAACTCGCTCCTAGGCCGCAGTTGCGAAGAAAGAGCACAAGCGAAATCCATCCCTTGAGGCTAAGGGGCGAGGCTTCCGAAGCAAAAAAATCAAAATCTGCAAAGCTTTTCTGTAAAGACCGTGCATCGCGGTAAGCCATCGGGAGTGACTCTCGATCCACAAGATACCCCCCCTTGCCGCAGTGTGGGAAGAGAACCACTGGCGCGCGTTGTGATCGGCCAGGAAGCAGGATTCTGCGAGAGGTCGAAAACACTGCGCCAGTTCGATGGGCGGTCAGTCTTGCTCTCCCTCATCTGCACGTACGTCTTCAGGAATTTTTTCCGATTGGCAGTGAGCCTAAGCAACATCACTCTGAGTTGTACACGTCTTTAAATCCAAACCAATACGGGTCTTCCTCAACTGTCAATTCCGAAGACTACAATCATGAAACAGGCTGGGGCACAGGTATTCCCACGATTCGCTGGGGATAGACACTGGCGGCAGTTTTTGTCCAGCTCTTGCACGGTTCTCCTCGGCAAGCAACTCGTCTTTTGAGGCTAAAAGGACGTCGTTGATGTCTGGAGGCTCCGCAATGGCAGCGAACTCCTGGGTCACCAATTTGTAAAGAACTCGTGGATCCTGAACCACCGCCGCCACAGACTTGCGGACCAAAATGGTGTACTTTCTTGGTCTAGCAATGATGTTGAAGCCAACATCAGCGGGCTGCACGTCCAGTGTAAAGATATCGAATTCCTGGCCGAGCAACTCATGGAAGATGCTTTCGTCGATGCTGCTTACGTTTTCATGTACACAAATCTTCTGCTTGCCGTGCAAGACCAAGAATGCCCAGGCCAAGAAAAGACATATGCGCTTGTCCCTCCTGCCCTGTCTCAACCCCATGCCGGACCACAGCTGGCACGGAGTGCCTGAGATGTCCAAGTCCGCCTCCGGCCAAGGGCAGAGTAAGTGATGTTCTTGCACACATGGCGTGGGCAGGTCATGGAACACCCTAGGCATCTCGTCCCAAATGGCTCTCCAGTCGGCATCCAAGTTCAGCCCGGAGAACCTGTCAAGGATATCTTTGAAGATGTGGCAGTCTGGGTCCAATCGCGCTTGAAGCCTGGATCACTGCAGGGGGGTCCATTATAGGTGCTGATACATCAATAGAAATAGGTTCGCCGAGCACACGAGAAAACCTGAAGAAACAGTGACCTTGGAACCAAGACACGCTTGCTGACATCGCCGATCGCACTCACAAGACGATACCACTCGGAAGTTTGGACCCTGAAAGCCAGTCAAAGATGCACTGCTGCGAGTAATCAACCACAGGGCCAACTCTGCAGAACCAACACCTGAGAAATGAGTCGAGACTGCGTGGGACTTGCTCAGGCAGGAGGCTGCCAACACGAGCGGTGACGAATGCTTGCTGATGAAGTGGGCAGTGAGGTATGGCCAGCGAAAAGCCTGTAGGAGCCCAGGAAGCTTTGGTGGCAAGCCCATGTCTGGACGGGGGGCCCTCTGCTGCCTGATCGTCCATAGCAAGGTCCA